CCACCCTCCGCCTCCCTAACCTCCACCCCGCCCCGCGCAGCTCCCCCGTGGCGGCTACTTTCTGCGGGAGGTCACTCGGCTCGGGCGGTTCCGAGCACGCGCTCAGGTATATATGTTTGTCGACAGGCTTCTCCAATGTCTCGTTAGTACGGATGCCCCGAATAATCCCAATTATAAGCACGAGCGGATACACGAGCACGTAGGCGGGGCTTATCCCAGCACAGACCCGTGGGATCTTTCATAGTATCAGTTGGTGAGTGCCTATAGAAGGTATAATTTTACAGGATCTTTTTGTAGCAATTTATTTTTACTTCTCGACCTCTGTGCAACCTGTCGCATCCGTCCCGCAAAACATCTAATTGTCGGCGGTAAGTTGACTCGCGCATGTGCCAGCTTCTATAACAGAGCATGCACAATGCATTTTGACATCAGACGCCTCCCTAAAAACGACGCATTGGGTGGCATGTGATGCGAATGTGACGTTTCATGCCAACTATGCATCGGACTTCTAAACAATGATCGCCAGAGTGAGGTAGAGCATTAAATAAAACCTGCAGATGGAAAATAATGGCTGAAAGTGCTGTTCGCGTCCGGGGTTGTTGTTTCCATCGACATGCAATGGCTAGCAGCGGTACGACTGATTGCTGCATTTAGAGCTCCCAGCCAGATGGTTTAGTTAATTGGACTTCTATGCGATGTAGACGGGCAAGTCTGCTGTGTCGTAACGCTGACCGTCGTGGTCAGCACTGACCTCCCTGTTGAAAAGCGCTTCTACCTGGGCATGGAGCAACTGGATCAGCACCGAAAAAAAAATCAAACGGATCACACAGTATAAGTCATTAATACCTAACTCAATAACTCGGGAACAAAAAAAAAAATCATGAATTTCTGTTTAGACTAGGCGCCTACGCTGCGCTGCAATCCAGCAATCCGTTTTTTCCGCTCAGAGGCATTATCCAGTAGCAATGGCCAGTTTGTGCTCCGAATGGCTATCGCCCCTCCGGATGAAGGTGAGACGCGATGTCGACACGTTCAGTGTTGTTGTCGCGGGGCAATCTGATCGCTGTCGCAGGTCGCGCGCTCCGTGTGCAGATGATTATCGGCCGGTCGACCCGTCGGCGGTCGGGAGGTCGGCTGATGAACGACGCTCCTCTGACGGCCGATGAGCGCCGCTGATCTGTGGCTTCTGACCGCGCCGACGCGTCGCTCCGACGGCGCTCCGTACTGCAGCGGGCTTCCCAGATTGATGACCTGTCGGTTGACGGGCTCGATTGACATTTTCCCAATAAAGTGGCCGTTTTGATAGGAAGCTTAACATTTTAGTCAAACAATATTTTTGATTTAACTTTAGCTAAAATTGTTATTGTTCTTCAAAATCATGATCGCATTAGATAGTCTTATAAGGCGTCTCGAAAGTCAATCGAAGTGTTGCTTCGCATATCTATCAAAAATGTTGAAGTGAGAATTTAAAGGACAAAATGCAACAAAACCCTTCGGGTTTTCGCGGTGCCTGTATAGTTAGAATGACTATTAGACTCTCATTCAAGTCGTCATGTTATGCCTTAACGACGCGCTGAATATTGGTTATTTGTTGAAATTGTCATAGTGTTCTCGAAATAGATGTAGAGGACTGAGGCCTTCCCGTATTCCAGCATATCTTACCTTTCACTTTAAATATGGGTAATTGATCAACAAAGTGCATAAAAATATCGCTGATGTTAGTCGAAGTCCGACAACTAATATCAGTGATATTAATCCCTCGTCTGAAGTATTCCGAAGAATCGTATCTGAATCCAAAATAATCAACAATTAATTCCCTATCTAACCTATCGTCTGTCGCTGTGCCACTGAGAGTTCGTTGTGATGAATTGTGCACTACGCGCCTGAGATGCGAATTTTACCGCACTACACGCCTATAACATAGGTATAGCCTGTGCCGCACTACACTACGCGCCTGAAGGTAGACTGTGCCGCACTACACTACATGCCTGAAGGTAGACTGTGCCGCACTGCACTACACGCCTGACATGTAGACTGTGCCGCACTACTTAACATGTTTGATATGTAGACTGTACCGCACTACACTACATGCCTGACGTGTGAACCATGCGCCGCACGCACTACATACATGCCTGGTGTAGACTATCGAGTATCGCAGAACGTAGGTACCTTGGTAGGTACTAGGTATGAGGGTGATTACTGGGCCGCAATCCACTAAGGAATTTAAATCATGGTTGACTGCTCCGATGCCACGAAGAAGGCTGGTAGAAGTAAGGCATTTTGCCGTGCAGCCGTTGCTTGTCACTGTCGCCGAATGCCTTCCTGCCGTGGCTGGTGACGGTGCAGTCCGGCCGGCGGGCGGCGCTCTCAGCCGTTTGTCACCGTCCCAGGCAGCAGTTGTGAGGAGGGAGGTAGGGGAGGCACGGGTGACCGTCACGTGTCGATGGCCGGACCGTGACTGTGACCGTGACGGCGCCGCGCGGCAGCCGCGGTGACAGGAACAGCTGTTACGCGCCGGCTGACGCGCCGCGACGGTGTACCGCCTACCAACTGTGCCACTTCAGCCACCACTTGAGTCCACTCCCTCAGCACAAGTGCCTGGCTGTGCAGCTATTCAGATTATTTCAAGTTCACATATTCAACCATACGGAGCACCCCGAGTTTGTAATTCGGTGACCCTTTAGCTCCCTCGGTCGGCCAGCCTCGATCGGGTAGGGCCGGGCGCCCACCTGGCGCTCGATGGCCGGCTCTCAGGCGGTCCCGGCTCCCAGCTCCACAGACTGTGAACGGCCGGACCCGGCTCGGACCGCGCCGGCCCGCCGACGGCCCGACGGTGATTTGTGGCCGGCCAAACTCTGGGAGTGGCGCTGGAAGGCTGAGAGGAATGCGAAACGACCGGCTGAGCTTCGTGCTTCTTTGTAATACCGCTCCTCAGCCAGCGAGCCTGAAACGAACAGCTAAACCCCAAAACAATCGGGAAGGCAGATACTGATCGTATAATTGAGGTGTTTATTTTTCGCACAGGAAGTGAGGCTGCGAATGTTTGAAGTGTCAGCACTTTTTAAATCATCGATCAAGCCCACAGGGATGGTGTCGATCAGATGCTCTATGCGGGTTATGAATAGTAGCTGACGTCAAATGCGGGCTACAGTTGCCGAAGACCTCACTCGTGGTAGGTATACCTAGCTGTGTCAAAATGAGGTCTCTGTCGATGGTGCGAATACGGTCTTAGTGCTTGTTTGGTCCTGGACTTTCTCGTTAGCTTCGTCGGATATCCTCGCACAATCTGTATTGCCTGTCAGCTCACCGGCCCTGGATGGTCCCTGTTTCCCAGTCCCTCCACCTACCTCCCCTGTTCCTCGGCCGTCTCCACGCCCATGAACCACGGTGTCAACGGCCGGGCGTCTCGCGGCGGGCGGCTCGGTGCGGCGGCCGCCAGACGGCTCTGCCGGCAGCCGGTCCGTCCGTCCGCTGGCCTTGACATTGGCTTAGCGGGCCGGCCGGCTGACGTGGCGGCGGCGGCGGCGGCGGCCGGCCGGCCGGCAGTCGTCGCCGCGCAGTCCGACCGTGAGCCCGCTGCAGCCGCCGCCGCCGTCCGGTCTCCCTTCTCTCTCTCCTCTCTCCCTCTGTCGCCTCTCCCTCTGTTTCGTCATGCATCTGAACAATATGGAGGTGGACACGACAGCCGCCGCCGCCGCCGCCGCCCCGTCCAGCCCGGTGAGTGAGCAGTGCTCGGCGCTCTTGTGAGAGGAGCGGCCCTGGTGCCGGCAGGACGAGCTGTTTATGGGACTCGGCACGGTGCTGTGCTGTGTATCTCTGCACCCTCCCGGATCCTGCCCCCCCCCCCCGCACCCGACCGGGCTGTTCACAAGGCCAACGGCGTGAGTCACCGCCCCCTCCCACCTCCGGCCCTCCCCGGAGCTGGAGGAGGAGCCAGCGCGGTGTCGGCCCGTCCGTCCGCTTGTCCCGTACTGCCTGCTGGAAATAAAACAAATCTCTCCATCCTAATTGACCTTCATCCTCCCAACACCCAATCCTGTCCCCTAGTGAGAATCCTAGCCACACAAACCAACCATAACAATGCAACCCATCGATCAAAGTAAAAGTTAAAGTTTAAGAACTCAAGGAGGTGCCGATACAAAGGCTAAACCTCCGATAACCATCGCATCGCATCGCATCGCCTGCCGATTCGTCGGTCGCAGGGCCAGTCTACGTCTGTGCTACACCGGTTTACGCCGGCAGGACGGTTTGTCCGTTATGGCTTATGGGGGTGTGTCTTATCCATTGTACCGCCACGGATCATTCGAATGAAGTAGAGTCGAGGTCAGGCTCACCGTTTTGGCTCCTTTCTCGGGGCTTTATTGAATGTTCATGCTCGATGAATGTGCATCATAACTAATGGTGCATTAGTTGCCAATCCACCAACCGTGCCATTCGTTCCCTTCTTCATTAGCCCATGAAGCCCATCGGCTGGCCGTCTCACATCCACCGGCCATGCCGTCCGTTCCGCAGTCCACAGTCCACCTCAGTAGTCCCAGTCCACATCCACGGTCGGCGCCGGTAGGTACGTCCGCTGCAGTGGCCGGCCCGGCGCCGAGTCATGCCCAGCCGCCACCTGCACGGTCCCCGGTCCGGCTCACGGCGAGTTTTACCACGTAAAACAGGGCATGACTTTCTTGCCCATGAACTCGGCAATGTTTTCTCGTTCAAATGACCACAGTTTCCTATCGAGTCGCACGTTCGACTTTCGCCAGCGCTCCCACGTGATACATTCAGAGCCACACTGCAGGCCCTGCTCGAACTGTGCGACAGGGGCTTACCGATGCCAACGGCAACACTATACCTACTTACCGAGACTGATTTGTATCCCCAGCTATTTACGGATACCTTTGGTTGTGCCTATTGACCAACGATGGCCAAAGCAATTTGCTACTGGTTACAGAAGTTGTTGCTATTCGCCCAAGTTCATTGTTCACAAACGTATTCATGTCTCCTTTCAGGTGAAGCTGGATAACAAGCCTAGCCGTGTGGTGCACATCCGAAATATACCGAACGAGGTCAGCGAAACCGAGGTCATCCACCTGGGAATCCCCTTCGGCAAGGTCACCAACGTGCTCGTCCTCAAGGGCAAGAACCAGGTAGGTGGCGACCGCCGTCCGGCCGGCCGGTCGGCGCTCCTGGCGCGGCGCGCCGGCTGCGCGACAGATGCGGCGCGTCTCGGACAGATGCGGCGCGTCACGCTCGACTCGTCTGGCGCTGACGGCTGGCGCGCCGGAAGGAGGGAGGGGAGGGACCGGGAGCGGACGAGAGGCGGCCGGAGAGGGCCGGGCGGCGCGCTGAGGCGGTCACACCAGAGTAGCCGCCTGGCCCGGGACAGCAGAGATCGGCGTCTGATTTGGTGGCTCAGGGTGTGGCTCACATCGGCCCGATGAGCGGCGAGCGCTGATTGTCTTCGTCTTGGACCGTCACAGGAAAATTGAATTTCCGGTGGTTGTTTGCGGTGGTGCGAATGGGAGGGAAAAGGAAAAGGCTGGGCTGAATTTATTCCTCCGATGCATATATGCAACGTATATCCGAAACGGAACCGATGCTCAGTAAAAATGTAAACTGTGGCGATTAGCGTTTTACAATACACAGCGCCTGCTGTTACTGATCGGTTCAGGGGCCGCCGGGGCGCAGACCAGCTGCCGGAGCGCCAGCCGCCGCCCGGACGATGGAACACCGAGCTACGACCTCAAAAGTGGCGCCGGCTGTCCCATTTAAGGCCCGGCGAACGGCGGCCGCGGCTCTGGCGGCCCGATGAACTGGCCCGCTTTACGTTCCGCTTTACAGCCCTTCTGGGAGCGACAGACGCAAACGGTGTCGGCCAATTCCGCTGTTTGTTTTTATGCCAAAACTGGGCCCATTCCGAGCCGGGGCTCTCCAGTGGCGCGGCTCGTTCTGTCCCCAGGACGGCAGTAACGGCGCGGTGCGGCTGTAACGGCGCCCGGCGACGGTACTGGCGCAGCGCGCCGCTGATTGTCGTCTGTCGACGCATCCCGACAATATCGGCGCGGTGGTCGTTTCGAGACTCCAGATGCCAGATCCTCTGTCTTCATCTCCAGTCGAACCGAAAGGATGGCAGATGTCAAATTTATCGCCGCGGGGGCACGGAGGAGGCCGGACGGAAACAGGCAGTGGACGGCCGAGCCAGAAAACAGGGCCCACGGACCGGCAGATGGACGGAGAAATGCCGAGCGGGATGGCCGGCGAATAGAAATTGTAGCAGTCGATTCCTGAAAATGAGGCCCAGAGAGAAAAATTCAAGCAGGGAATTTACAATCGTATTGTCAATTCTCTCCTCAGTGTCATCCTCCTTTCATATCTTGTCCTTCTTGCTCAACTCTCTGCTTCTCTCTGGCTGAGCCCCACCCGCCTCTGGCTGCTTCTTCCGGCCGGGCAGCCCTGGGGCGGCGAGTCTGGTTCCATGGCCAGCCCCCGGGTCTGTTCATTCAACAGACATGTCTGGTCACATAGCGACTGGTCTGGTCAGTACAGCGACCGACATCGACCGTCAGAATCCCGATACACTGCTGTCATCGGAGCGGAGCCAGAGGCGCATCAAAGAAACACATCTATCGGTACTGAGATAGCCGTCGAACTATAATTTTGTGTTTGGATCTGAAGTCAAAAGAAGATATGTTTTTGGGCCAACTGCGTCGCCCAATTGAATCTAGTTATATTGAATGACGACTGGTGTGAGATAAGTTTGCTTCTCTTTGTTTATTCGTAGTCCAATGCGTCCAAAGATAACCATTTCTTGCTGCGCTTTTCGTTGCGTTTCTACTGTTCCCTTCCTTCATCAATTCGAATATCTCATTCATTGGACTACGCTGGCCTTTTTGTATACATGAAAAATGTAACCGTTTCAATGAAATGACAAACTTATCCGGAAAGCTGCATTTCGGATTTTGCTTTAGCTACATTGCACTTAATACGTTTGCAGTGACTACAATGATACTTACAGAGGTAACGTCTCGGTATGACATTTTTTTGTTTTTTGTTTTTTTTTCAATGAGATCAGCATTGACATGGCAGGCACGGTAAATTGGATTCATCCTTGCTCCGTATCATTCGTCGTCCTTTGTCAGCGCGCCGTCCGTTTTCATCATCCGCCCATTCTGCCGGTCCTTTGTGTCCGCCGGGTTATTTCAGACGGCCAATCAAGTCTGACCGCTCCGCTCTGCAGCCAGCTACTAAAGTCAGCCGCCCGTCTGACATGATGAAAGCGTCCCTGCCGACCGGCATGGCACACGGCTCGTATCACCGCTCATATTAGCCGTCCGGGCGCAGGTGCCCGCCTAATTGGCCCTCCGCTGGCGGCGATACGGCCGTCCAATTTGGAATTAGCATGCGTATCACGGCGGCTGGACGGGCGCCGGACTGCAGCGGAGGCGGACGGCTGTGAGCTGCAGTGGGGTCGGGGTGACAGTCCAGTCCGGACCGGCGAGTCCGGCCCTCAGCTGTGACCGGTCAGAGAGAACTGCGATCAGCTCCTGGCCCTGGCAGTGTGAGTGTCGTCTCCTATACACCCACCCACACACTCCTGAGCTGGCGGAGCAGTGTCAGGCCGCCGTCAGGAGGTGTAGTAGAGTGGTCAGACGGCGCGCCCGGAGATAGCGTGTCTGACACGCGGCGCCCGTCTGCCAGAGCGGCTGTTGGCACTGCCGGTCGCCGAGCTGGCGTCCGTGCACGCCGCGAACAGGTGGTTCGGCCGCCGGCCACGGCGCTACGGCCGGCCGTGCGCGGCCACGGCGTGACGTCACGGCGACCCGGCCAGGTATGTGACCGGTTGTTAGCCGGCCGGCGCCGCCACAGGTATGCCGCCGGCTCCGGCTTTGGCGGGCCGGCGACCGGAGCCGGAGCCGGCCGCGGATCGGCCGGTCCGGAGTAGGCGGGTGGTTTGGGCCGGGCCGGGCCGGGCCGGCGGACCGGGTATGCACCGCACTCCATGGCCGGCGGCTGGTGGCAGATGTCTGGAATATTCAGCCGTTTGTTCGGGACAGTCGTGGGTAGATAAATCGCATATTCTTAGAGGTCAGCGTTCAATGCTGACGAAACAGCGCCTTGGGGTTTGGGTGGCCATCCACGCTCAGTATGGTATTCACTGGCCGTTTGATATGCAATGCATTTGCTTCTTTTTTATATGTTGACGTTCTGCCTACCGTTCAGCAGTCAGCGGTGATAGATTTACTTTTCGGCCAAATTCTGAAATTTTTGAAGGCGTGCCTATGTAAACTCGTCGACTAACCGTTTAAAATGTTCAAGGGTCACTCACTAAACTTCTATTTATGACTGAAAATACCAAAGGCTAAAGCTCACAATAACATTTTATATTTGTTATTCAGCCATATATTAAAAATTCTTGCATTGCTCAAACGACATTATCATAAGTTATACCTCAGTGTTAATTATTACATTGGCCACAAACAGTGACCACCCCACATTTTACCTTATAATGCAGGTTTGAGTAACATTGACGGCTCTATAAGGGCGGCTGAGCTGAGCGGACCCATTTGGTCGGGCGCCGCGCCGCGCTGTGGTCTCAGCGGCTCCCAGATGGCGGCGGCCCGATTGATAAGGAAGTGACGACGGCACGGTCGGGGCCGCGGCTCCGGGCCGGCGGCCGCGCGACCTGCAGTGACCCGAACAGAGTGCCTCTGTCGGCCCGGTGACCAGACCCCGTGAACATGGGACGGGGTTGGACACAAGTGTAAGTTTCGGATTCGAACGGGAGCTGCTGTCAAAAATGGCAAAAACGAGATGGGCCTTTTCACAAATTTTTACTACGTCGCTGGCAAAAACCTGAATTTGAATGTCTAGCTTTGCATTATTCATGTTTTCGTACCGTAAAACATGCCCAGAAATTACGGTTTTGCAGACTCTGGGCTTCGCAGTGAGTCAACACTTGAATAGAAATTCAATCAACTTGTTTTTGGCTCGACACTTTGTAAATACTCGGTGGAAAAACATTCGTGTTTTTGCAGCGACGTTTGGTGGGCCCTCGCCTATTCAGAAATGTGATTGCAAGGAAGCGGATTGATGCATTCGCGTGATCACACCACAACTCAAACTAAGTGGCCCCGTTGAAGGAAATATTTACGACCGTGGCTGTTTTCGGACGGCCTCAGGTAGGCTGCCGGCTGCGGCTGGGGCCGGGACTGTGACGGGTCACCTCCAGCGGGGGAGTCAGTCTGTCGCCTCAGTGGACGGGTCTGCCAGAGAGGCGTCGTCCACCGTGCAATGTTCCCAGAGTGGGCCACACAATAAACGACGCGGGACTGCCGCGTCGTACCCATTTAGTGGTCATTCACAGCGGCCATGCCCAATCAAATCACCAGAACGCGGATGTTCTGATCCAGCGCCGGCGGATGACTGTCATCACGCAGCTCTCTGCGCTACTGCTCGTCACCTCTGCCGCTCCCTGCGCCTCTGCTCGTCACTGTTACCACACCCGGTGCCGGTTGTCGTGTATATCTCGGAGATCGCCATTCCTCCGATCCGGTGTTGTCTGCGATACTCATGGCGACTATGGCGTCTAGCGTGTCTCGATGGCCGCGGACGAGGTCGAGAAGCAGCTCGCTTGGTTCCGCCTGACTCGGCGCGGCCCGGTTTGGGCCCCGCCGCGCCGGTCGGGGTCGTGGTCCCGGATCTGTCGGGCGGGCGGGGGCGGCCAGGGTCGCGCCGCGGTCGAGACAGCATGGCTCCGTCGAGAGGCCGCGCCGCTTCCGGCGGCGGACCGCTTTCAGTGCAGTGGTGCACCGCTGCAGGCGCGCGGCGGGCTGCGCTGCCACCCCCGCCCCCGCCCCCACCCCGGCTCCGTTCCCTATCTCGTCGACCCTGCGGCACATCTCATGCGGGGCTTCGCGACGAGACGTCTCAATCCGTCGCACCCACTCCATCGGCGGCGGAGTGGCTTGTTTTTCAACTTCACCGCCGCTGCCGTCACCAACAGCGCCTCCGTATGGGCCCGTCGCGCCTCTCCGCGCCGTCGTTCCCGTCATCGGCCGTCGGTAGAATGTGCCGCTGGTGTGCCGCCCCGGCTCCGCCGGCTCTGCGGCGGCGAGTCTGGCCGGCCGCCACACGCTCCGCCATCGACGGGCGGTGCCCTGTTGTTCGCCGCCGAGAACGAAAATATGCGCCGGCCCAGGTAATGGCCGAGCCAATGTAAGCAGACGGATGGGCCGGCGCCGCGCCTGTGAGCGGAGGGGTGGCTGGAGAATGGCGGGGAGACTGTGGTTTACCTGGGAATACACAGGTGATGGGCGCGTTAGGAGCTCTGTTTATGGCCCGTGCGCGGCCGAGACGGGGGCCCGCTGGGTCTGGGTGGCGGGGAGGGTAAAGCTGTGTTAGCGAGGACGTTGGAACTGGGGAGACGGAGACGGCAGAGCTAATTTGAGAGATGCACGCAAGCATTTTCGAGTTGTGCCTCTTTTCCTTGTCCAGGTGTTAAATCCGTTGTGTTTTCTATGGCAGGGCTTGGCTGAAAGGACATCCCAAAGTTAATTCCACTAGGTAATTCTGACAGCTCACAGCATCAACTGCTTCTGCGGTTCCGAGTATCAACTGCTAGGTGGCATGCGGTCAGGGATGAATGAAGGCAATTAGAAAGTTGATTTTACACGCGTCGGACAAATAAGTTATTGCAGAAAAAAAGTTTAAAACCGAGCCGAACGAAAGTTATGTTTACTTATCGAACAAGAGCTGGATGATAGCAGGGTGCTGTCAGTTATCAGGTGAAACGGGAAATCCAGTTATATCCATCAATTTCCTATCTGGTGACATGGCAACTTGAGCCGTTCCTTGAGACCCTCCCCACCCAGCATTTCCGCGCTGCTGCCATTTCTCGACTTGTTCGTCGTTCCGCGCCATTTTTCATTCCGTTTCCGGCGACGTTCAATCGGCGTCCCTTGTGGTGGGATGCTCCGGTCCGCCCCAACTTCGTCTCGATGCTTTTTGTTCGAGGGTGGGTCCGAATAAAAACGCCTCGCGCCGACCGTCTCGTCACGATTCCCCGGCGGCCTCTGCCCTGCTCTCCCACCGCGTTTTCCTCCCGGTCTTCTGTTCAGGTTGCGATGTCCATGTCGTGTCCTTGCGCTGCCTACACCTGTGACACTCTCTGGTTGGTCCTATCTGACCACTGACCAGTCTCTCCGGCTCTAATCCAGCAACAGTCTCAATAGTTCCAGCAGACAATAGGTAATATTTTTAGCTCTACCCGACAACAGTCTGATGCAGTATTGCAGGCCGCAGCTTTATCCGAGAATAACACCGACCTTCACCGCTGCTAAGCAATTGCGCTACCCGCGATCTTGTAAATGCCATTTTATTTATCGCAGCAGCGGCAAATTCAATTGTTGCAAAGGTCTTTGATACAACGTAAGAAATGACGCAAACGTCTAAGCTTTGCCTAAACCAAAATCGTTTTCAATGGCATAGCAATTAGCAACACAACATGAGACAAGGCGTGTTGAATGTTTGATAGTTCAGAGAACTTTGTACCACTTTTACTGCAGTTCTGGCCCACGAACCCAGCCCGTTTCTCCCGGTCTCTCCTGTCTCAGCCCGGCTATTATGCGGCCACCCTGATCTGTGCCCGTCTGCATCCTCTTCTCGCATCCCGTCCCCCTTGATCTCTGTTCTGCTGTGGCTGCCCCATACCCAGTCCTTCTCCTCCATCTCCCTAATCTCGGCCCCTGCGGCGGTCACCTGCCGCCCGCAGCAGCGCACCGGATCCAGCCCGCCTCCTCCAGCCGCCCCTGAATCCGCGCCGGTCATAGTCCGCCTCCCCAGCCGCCCCTGTATCCGCCGGCGCCCCTGCGGCGGTCACCTGCCGTCCGCAGCGGCGCGCCGGCCGCCGACATTAGCCGCCGCGCTCCCAGCGGACCGGCGGCTCCATTTCGGCCGCCGGCCCGTGTCGCGCTAACTAATTCCATCCGTATACGTGGGGGAAATCAAAGGCCGCCGGTCGACACCGGCCGACTAATGGTGGCCGTCCCGGCCGCGGGTCTCGGCGGGAAGGGCGGCGGCCGCCTCTCGTTAGTCCGGCGCCGCCGACCGCTCGGCCTCCCGTTACCGGCGAGTCGGGTGGCTGTCCGCCCGTGTGTCTGTCTGCTCTCCGGTGTTCGTCGCCGCTGCGTCACCGAGTGTCGTCGCGATACGCTCATTACGCGCGGCGTGCTCATTATTATCGGTAGGGGAACTGCGAAATCAATGGGCGCAACGAGCCCCGGCGAGGGATATCAGCCCACCTGGCTGAGACAGTTCAATATTATTTTTATCACAGCGGTGCAAATGTTTCATTTTGTGGTCGGATCGTAGTGCAATAATTTAACCATTTTTATTTTAAGAAAGTCCATTTCACCAATGCGAGATGATATACTGAAACGTAGCAGTTCGTCTTCACATGTCCGGATATTTAACACTAGTCCATAATTTTGCAACCGCGATCTACACAGGAGCTGCTGCCCGCATTGTTGCCGAGTGTTTACGCGCTCCCGTCAGTGTTTGTGTGTGGAACGAAGCGCTCAAAGGATGAGATGGTCGTTCCATACATTAAGGGCGTTGTTTTCGCCGGTGCTGGCTGAATTATTTGACTCGCGCCGCGCCGCTCGCCCCTGGGTCACCTGTCTGACCGGAGGCTCTCTCCTCAGGCCTTTCTGGAGATGGCCGACGAGGTGGTAGCCACCCAGATGGTGGCCTACTTCGCCAACGGCACCGCCCAGCTGCGCGGCCGCTCCGTCTACGTCCAGTTCTCCAACCACAAGGAGCTCAAGACGGACCAGACGCACTCGAACGCGGTGAGTGCTCCCGCCGGCGCGGCGCTGCCGAGCGTCCCGCCCTAACGCTCCACACGCGCCCGACGAATGCAGCGCGGCGTTCAATGTCACCATCGCTGGCTGTCCCATCACCTGTCGCTATCAGTGTAACCGTTGGAGTGTTTAGGCTGTTTGACTGAAGTGGCCTCTTCCGACTCGTTTTACTAATCTACACTTGCTGTTGTGCTTGTCTAACGATCGCGATGGTTTCCTTTCAAACGGTTTCTCAGCCTCTGTGACTGTTTCTCTTTGTGCTCTTTTTATGGTTAATCTCTTTTGTCTCCTGTCTCTCCCTGTCTCTTGCTCCTCTTTCTCCCTTCCTCTTCTCTCCTTTTGCTTTCTTTATTTATTCATTTATGTCTTCAGTTATATCTGTCTGTCTCAGTTTCGTCCTTCACTTCCGTCCAGAGCTGCATACCTACTGCATCTGCTCTCATGGTCGCCTTCCGCGGGCGTCTGTCCTCTGGTCACGGCCGGCGCCGTGGTCTGACCACTGATGAGCACCTATCCATCCTCCTCTCGGGAGCGCCCGCCGTCTGCCCGGGGAGCGGACGGACGCGGCTCCTCGCGCTGATTCGCCGTCGTTCGGCACCGTCCCACCTCAGCGCGGACACCCTGCCGTAAATTGGACCGTAAATTTGCCGCCGCAGACGGAGCGTCCTCGACGCGTGCCCATGCCACGGCGTCGAGCCGACGACGGCGCCTGATGGCCGGCTGGGCTCAATATGGAGATTGGGAATGCCAGGTGGAAAGCTCGACAAGATGAAAATAGGGGCACGTGTTTTACGTGACAGTCGGTCGCTGAGGAAATGGTTCAATTAAATGGCTTCCATGAGCGTGTTCATTGTTCAATGTTCATAGTTCAACACTTGCTGATTAAGAATCGAATGGCAGCGTGGCGCAACGTTTTATGCCGGCTCACTCGTTTTTTAGCTCGGGCGCGGGGCGGTCCCGTGTCGTCCCGCATTGACCTGCCGCGGTCACTGGTCGCGGTGCCATGCTGTCTGGCGTGGAATCCGCCACCCCGCCGGCGCCGACGCCATAGCCAACTCGAGTTTACGGCCCATCGTCCCCTCGCCGACGCCACTTTGACACGCAACGATCACGCCGGAAACGATGCCACTGTTCAGATGTACTCCAAAAGCCACCCGGAATGGCCTATTGATTGCGAAATTTGGGTCCGATCGTAAAGTAACGGACGCGCGAGACGATGGCTGCCGATATCCCCTGGACGCCGGCGTAAAGGCTGCATTTTACGCGCGCTCTTTCACTATCGGTCCGAATGAATGAAAGTAAGATGGCACACGGTGACATTCCAGATTAAAATCAGCCGTTCGTTCGCGATTGACGATGCAGTTGGCTGAAAGTCTGCGATATTGGCCGTTGAAAGGTCGACGAAAGATCCTGCTCTGAGGGCAATGCCGCTTCAGTGATGCCGCTTTTATGCGCTTTATTTTGAGCGTAACAACGTCTGTATACGATCCATATATACCTATATGTTTATTCATGCTTGTTCAAAGCTATCCATGCCACGCTCAAATTCGAGGCTGGTTCTTTTGAAATTATAACTACTGCAATTTAATAAATATATATGAACTTCACGCATTTAGCTTCCATTTCAAATGACATTTAAAGTTTTTAGTTAAAGCCTAACGGTAACTCGTCAACGACGATGCCCAATAATTCTACCTTCTTCGCTTACCTTTCGTCTGAGGACATTTGAGGTAGGTATAATGTATCGTTATTTAGCTTTGACCAAAATATTGAAACGTCGTGTTCCGTTTGCTGCCGCTACATAGTTACATAGAGCCAGCCTGTTCTTTTTCGGGTGTTTTCAAATAGTTGTGCAGCGTTTGACCCGCGGTACGGGATTGAAAAGGCCAACTGCGGCCGCTTCAGCCCCGCGGGGCCGGCCAACTTGCCTTTTACACACGGTCTAACGAGCGGGCCGTGTTTTTTGGTGAGTCCAGTTGCGACAGCTCTCGGCGTGGAAGTTTTTGAGTGCTCTGTCAACAGCACCGGACCGGTCGCCCCGACCAGGTCGACTGCCACAGCAGCGTAAGCTGTCTGAATTTCCCAGCGGAGCCCCGCCGCGCCGGCCGATTACCCTCCCGAGCTGCCAAAGTTTCTCCGCGCGCTCGCGAAAAATGGACCCTCACCCGCTAATGTTTTATGGAGTTTGGATCCGCCTCCCGAGCAGAATCGCGCTGCTGCACTTTGATCGTTTGTTTTTAACGTCTGTGTCTGCGACCCTGCCATTTTATCATTGCTCTTTTCTTCACTCATCGAACTTTGTTTCTTTTTGCTCTATTTTCTCGATCCGAGCATGAAATGTTCTATGGATTTCAGAGACTCGAGCGAAAAAAAAAATAACACTAGTTATTCGTTAATATCTTGTTATATGTACCTTTAAACCAATTGGAGCAAGACGCTCTCCAGTTCCAATGTCACATTCCAGTTACCCTATTTGTCTACTTGTTGTTTGTCGTTTGTTCTACTGTGTGTCCCTGTAGGCCTTCAGCTATGACTTGTGGTGTACCCTCACCTCTGCACTGTGCTGCACCAGTGTCAGAAACTCCCTTATCCTATAGTTACCTGGCAGGTATTTTCGCGGCTGACCTGGCCACGCCCCCTCTATACGTTCAAGGTGTCTGAATCGCTGGAGCTCTCTTCTCACTCTGAGGTAGCTGTATCTCCGCATGCTCTCTCTCTCTCTCTCTCTCTCTCTCTCTCTCTCTCTCTCTCTCTCTCTCTCTCTCTCTCTCTCTCTCTCTCTCCTCGCTAGTGTGCAATGCATGCCGCCCCGGGCCGCCGTAGCACCGTTCTGGGATCGCCCGCGAATAGTGAACGGGAAGTAGAGCACGCCTGTTCTGGTACATCACCTATGACAGATGTACTCTCAACCTGCAACCACATCCCGAGCAGTCGTGCCGTTAAAACGACTGTATTTTCATTGTTCTCTTCATTTAAATGTGTGCATGGGCAATTACTGGTTGTAGGCAATTAATGGTTGTATATTGCTAAGGAACGGGTAGTTTTTTTGTCAGCACTTCTCTTTTCTCGAACCCATTTTCTAGAGTGGTTTCGGGCCGCTGCCGGCCACCCGCTCCCACCCCTGAGCGGGTCTCTCACACATACATCTCGGCTGTTTTCGGCCGCGCCGGCCTCCCTCTGCTGTCGGCGGGCTGACGGTGCTGTGTCGCTCGCCGCCGCACGCCACTGGGAGGCAGGGGGTGCTTGCACGCGAGACGTCGCGGCCGGCGCGTCCAGTAACACAATCAGGCGAGGCGGCGGCGGCGGCTTATTTACCCGGCGGCCGAATTGGTCGGAGCGGCGAAATTAGCCGGGCGGCGGCGGCGTCACACCGGCGGCGGATTGCACGTCCGGCCTGATCCGGCGACGGGCCGCCGCCCTCGCCGCCAGACGGCTCCGTGGGGATGGCGGACAGCTGGGGGGCGACGAGGGGAGTAGAGAGACGACAGGGGACAGCCATAGATGACTGTGAACAGATAGGCGGCGGGTGGAAACGGGCTAGCTGCAAATATCTGATAGCGGACGGTTTTAACGTAGGCGACTGCTCGGACCTCGTATTGGTCGGCCACCGTTGTTACGTGTTATCACACTTATCACCCAGTTTTCGGCACGTTCTCTGCTCCCGCTCCCAGTGTGACCCCATGGTCGGTGTGTTTCAGAACGCCTCGGCTCAGGCCGCGCTGCAGGCGGCGCAGGCGCTGTCCGGCGGCGACACTCAGGGCGGCCCCAACACGGTGCTCAGGATCATCATCGAGCACATGGTCTACCCGGTCACCCTGGACGTGCTCCAGCAGGTGAGGGTCGCCCGGCCGGCCGGCACACTCTGTGCCCCTTCCCCCGGCTGGATTCCTGCGCCGATGGCTGGTGCACTGAAAACTTTTTTACCATTTCCTGAAGGGTAAACCCGCCATAGCATGGTAGCTTGACACACAGACGTTTTTTACCACCTTCCAGATGGTAAATTTTACTCTTTCATGAAGAGTAAACTCGCCAGGGAGGGGTAACATGACACACAGACGTTTTTTACCATCTTCTGAATGGTAAACTCTTTTGATTTACTCTTGTCTAGAGTGTAACATTTTTTGGGTTACACTCTTTGAAAGGGTAAATCTTTAACGGAACCCTTTTTTAGGGAGTAACGCATCATCTACTCTGTGCTTTACCCTCCTACAGAGAGTATATTCTTATGGCCTACCCTTTGTCACATGGTAATGTTTACTCTTTCCTTTAGTGTAAACCCCCCAGAGGATGGTAACAGACCCACAGACGCTTCCTTCAGAAGCTTCACGAAGCTTCTGTTAACCGGAGCTCACCAACTAAAAAAAAAATGCTTCAAGAGCAACAATGTAGGTATATTTGGCTTCCGTACAAACAATACGAGGGGCACACCAACCATGAACATTGTGAGACTCTTCACTTATTCATACAAATTTATACAAAGCGTTCAGCAATGCACAAGCGGTAAATAAACACCACGATACAACTTGAATGCAATTTGAATATGAATACAAGACATTCAGCGCCCTCATATTGGATTAGGCAGAGCGCACAATATTTGAAGTGAGCGACGGCGTTCCTGGTGGTCGCCCGTCTGCGTGAGATAATGAGACTGGATCACTACAGTGCAAGGCTTTTTCAAAGTCACCAACAAAATGCATAAACTTGTAACATCACAACAAAATTAATGTACGTACTCACAACACTAGGCCACGTGGCCGTGCACGGGGTCCTGTTAACCAGGTCAAATTAGCACTACTCAACGGCACGCAATGCTCTAGCACATCGGTACTTACAATAAAATGTCCACAGAGGCTCTATAGGCGATGAACAACACACAAGCACAATCACCAACGGCCACGCCGCGCGGCACCGACACTGCTCACATCCGCTCTCGGAGACCAACGGCCGAAAACTGACAGATGCGCGCGACCTTCAAACCGCAAACGGCCGATCTCGTTTCTGATTGGCTGATTGTTTCCATTTCAAATATCATCTTCACGAGGGTAAACAAGATCCACGCATGAAACGACTATCTGTACCCGAGTCACGATACCCAGTAGGAAAGAGTTTTCGTGATGTTCTGGATCGTGAGAGTAATATTGATATATACATGGTAATAATACTCTTCGCTGGCGAATAAGTTCATATTAACCACGTACCGTTACTATGCACATAATGGTAGCAGCGAGTTACCCTTTCAATATACTATTATCTTGCGGGTTTGATGAAAATGAACTCTCCAGGAGGTAGTAAAAAAGTTTTGAGTGTGCGATCGGAGAAGCTTTGTCACACTCGATCGGCGCTTACTTAATATCATGTAGAGCAGACATGTCCTATAACGGCAGGCGAATGCAGCGGATTCTGCTTACCCACCCGGATAGGTCGGGGTGCATGCTGAGGCTCGGCTGTGAATGGTGGACGTAATGCAGGCACATCGTATTATTTAGGGATGCGATGGACAATGGAAATGCGTAAGGTCGGCTGTTAGTTGCAGGGAGGATATTGTGGTAATGAGGGTATAGCTTGGGCCTATGAACTGAGTGGGAAATCTGTAAACTAGGACGATAACATGCCCCGGACAGGTGCCGGTTGCACTTTATTTATCGCCGCCAAGTATTGCCCCTTGTGGGTAGATGTGTGTTTTGCTGCTGCGCACGCCATGGGAACGCTTCGTGTTCATTGCAAAGACATCCATAAGGGCACCTCTGACATTAAAGCTGTACCTGCACCTTCATGACAGGCCCCGCCTGCACTGATGCACGACTGTGGAAAGTTCAGCCTGGCAGCGACACTGCTCGATTCACATTACTGAACAAAGCAATCTACTCCTGCGCTCCAGTTCCGGGTGGCCCATCTAATTTCATTCTCCTTCTCCCTCGGGTCTCCATTCTCCAGATGGCATTTCCACATCAGGCTTCCACCCTCCGTTTACAAAGTATATTTCTTTGCACAAGAGTGTGCTCCCGGCGCCAAATTGCCGTAGTTACCCGGTGGCGGCCCGGGTATGGTCGGCGCTGCGCTAATGTCCCGGCCCATTGAGAGGACGGCCGTTCGCTCACGGCCCTGCTGGGACCGGTCTCCCCGACCTGCCGCGGCAGCATGTGACCCCCGGGAGCGCCTCGGGCGGTCCGGGCCGACCTGGGTCGCTGCGGACGGCTGAGCCGAACCGGGACCGGTGTGGGGGATCCGTATCATATGTAGAGAGCCCGGAGGTAGCGCTGTGAGATGTCCCAGGACTTGGTAACGAATCGGGCGGATCCGCCGAGCCGCCGAGTGGTAATTGAATTATCGGGCTGCTTAGTGCTTATGGCACGAAGATTGATATTCACACACAATGATGAAAAATATTTAAAAAGAAAGTAATTTCAGTTAGTCTAGTTAAAATATTTGGTAATTGCAGGACCTTTGTGTTGGAGGGTGATGAGGTGCCGTCTATTCGGCTTGGTCTGCTTTAGTATGGATTAAATTATCGAGAGTGTGGCCTCCTAGATAAGCAGACGCTTTCTGTTCCTGCACTAATCGTGGGCCAATGCCACAGAAGCTACCCTTTGTTTGCCAATATTGGTTTGCAAACAGAGCACAGTGGGTCTTTGTGCCGACTATTGGACGAATCGTCTTGTTCGTAGAAGTTTTCCTAAGAGGAGCTTTAGTGCTCCTAATGAGCTAAAAGCCGGCCCGTGCGGGCGGTGTGGCCGGCCCGGCCGTGACGTCAGAGGCCGCCGGAACTCAATAGGGGTGCACGGACGGTGAGCATCTGATCGAACGGGTAACGATCGCGCCGGCCGCCGTCTTCTGTCGCCCGCGCGGCTTTTGTCCGACCACCAAAGGCTGCACGGCGGTCCGTCCCGAGCGGCGGCGGCAGCTGCGGCGTCCCCGCCGCCTGCCAGCGCGCCTCCAGCGCCGAAAGGTCAGGGCGGCTGGTGTACCGGGCCTGTATCGGGGCAGATTTGATCCCTCCCAGTATGCTGGCGTCCCGGGAGGCGTGGGTGCGAGGCGGCGCGGCGGCCTGGAAACGAGGCGGCGGCGGCGCGGCGCCCGCGGCGGGTCCGATTGAAGTCGGCGGTCGGGCCGGGCCGCCGGATGTCGCCCTCCGTCGCTGGTCGGGCCGCAGATCAGAGCCGGCGATCGGACCGACCGCCGTGTGACTCACTGGCAGTCGAGCCCGACGAACGGCGTGTTTATTTATCCAGGCTGGCAGACGCTCCGTCTGGCGTCGTCGCCTTCATAAACCCGGCCCTGCCGCCCGGGCCAGGGTTTGGCCTCCTGACCTCAGTCGATTCCGCCGGCGGTACCGTTTCGGTCGCCGCCTTCCCACCGCGTCGGCTCGGTCCGGCGGCGCCGTCTCTCCGGCCCAGCTCGCTCGCGTCGCCCCTGCCGGCGGACCGGCCCGTCCGCAGCATGAGGTCATTATGACGATAGGGCCTGCAGCGGCAGACGGACGGTATCGGCGGGCCGGCAGGCTGCAGGGCCGCCCCTGGCAGCGCTCTCCGCGCCAGGGTGACGGGGCGCGGCCGCCCGGCGCCCAGACGGCCGCTGCGCCGGCTAAAACCAGCAGTCCGCCGGCCAGTGTGGTTGGGTGACTCGGTCCGCATACACTGAACAGAACGCCAGCCAGGTATATCCAGAACGTTGGGCGGCTCTCTGCCGAGCATCGCCCTATACGCGGTTGGCGCCGAGACTGGGGCTCTGCCGTTTCGCGGCCGGGCCGCGTGACCTGTCATTTCTGAACGACAGGTTTTACGCCGCCTCGTGTGTGGTTGTTGGCGTTTGTTGGCGGCCCTTCACCGCCGGAAGTCTGTTTAGATTCTACCCGGAACCTGCCCTTCTGTCTGGCGCTGGCCGCGAGTGCTGGCACTCGGGCGGTCTGATGTCACGCCTTGGCGTCAGCTCATGTGGCCGGCCAAAACGGAACTACGGGGCTGGTCCCGGCTCCAGTCGGCCACCCCGTGGAGCCCCGGTCTGGAAGGAACGAAGGCAGCCAGCTAAATAAGGCTCGGTCGGCCTCTCACGGATCACAGAGCTTCGTCGCTGTCCTTAGTTAGCTATCCCTTCACGTTTCATGCACCAATGCGCCGATCGGTTTGGTGACCTGTGACGGCAGCGCACACCTCATGGCTACCGCAGAACGGACACTGCCCCGGCACTGCACTGGGAGTCCGCTCCCATTCAGTGCCGCGCGGCCGAGCGGCGCGCCCGGTCAGCTCGCGTGCAGCGGGCCGCGCTCGGTCGGCATGCAACCTGCCAGACGTCAGCAGCGACCTGCGGCGAGCAACAGGACCGCGCCCGGCGGCGCGACTCTGAAACCGCCGGCCGCTTCCGGTTGCCATCGACCGCAGTTCTGTTCAGAAATGCAGCGGCCGTGTGACAGCGGCGGCCGGCCGTCTGCCGCGGCTCGGCTCACGTGTCCGGCCCGCCCTGACCCGACCGTCACGTCGGACGGTGACTCAGAATTACAGCCGCATGCCGCCGCGGCAAGTGCCCACAGCGACTCCTTTCTGCGCACGCGGGGCGGCGGTGCACAACGTTATCCGTCGTTCCCACGGTGTGCAATGTGTCACGCCATTTCCGGAGCGAATTTGCCAGCGTCAGAGAAGCTACTACGTAGAGGTGACATCGGCTTTCGTGGAGTGACCGGTGATTGCTTGTCGTTTTGTTCTAAGTTCCCATGAAATTGTCTTGGGTGTATAGCTAAGTGAAAAGTGAGGCACAAAAAATAGTGCGTCCATACTCCATATGAAAGCTCAGTCGCTCTGGTGGAAAGGTGGAAACTGCATAAAAGTTGTACCTATGGGGC